CCCACCCCCACCACAATCTCTCGTCTCCCATTGGCAGCCAGCTGAAGGGCCCCTCTGCCAATGCTCCCCTGGGCACTGCCTGCTTCCAGGGTGACTCTATGCCCCCCTGCTCCTGCTTGCCTGAGCGGCCGCACGGCGAGGCGAATGAATTCCTTTGCGCTGCACTTCAGAGTCTCTGGGGCAGACCCCAAACCAGCTCTCGGCAGCCCCGTTCTGCTCCGTGATTCCAGCCTGAACCCCCCACCCCCGGCCAACCTGCAGGCCTCCGCCCCGGCCGCGTGGATGCAGGCCGGACTCTATGCCCCCCTGCTCCTGCTTGCCTGAGCGGCCGCACGGCGAGGCGAATGAATTCCTTTGCGCTGCACTTCAGAGTCTCTGGGGCAGACCCCAAACCAGCTCTCGGCAGCCCCGTTCTGCTCCGTGATTCCAGCCTGAACCCCCCACCCCCGGCCAACCTGCAGGCCTCCGCCCCGGCCGCGTGGATGCAGGCCGGCGCATTCCCGGCCCACATAAATTTCAGGGCCGTGCGCTTTGAAGTTTCCAACGAGGACAGTTGTTTTTGTTTGTAGCGTTGCTTATCACTGGCCTGCCCCCTCCCTGTCTCCGTGCGGGCTCCACTCTCAATCTGGCCCCATCTTCCGTCCATGCAGGCCCTGCTGCCAGGGACCGCCGCTCTGCCAGAGGCCACTGATAAGGATGATGGATGGGGAGAAGGCTGGCTCCACCGTGGCCCAGTGGCTTCCTGGGAGCTCGAGACAGTCTAGCTGCTCCAAAGCCCGTTGGAATGCTTGTTTGGAAGCTGGGAAGCAGCCGGGGAGGGGGCAGAAAACGTTGCCTCCACCTCCGCCTTCCCAGATGAATCCCAGATGAGCCCTCAGCCTGGCCTCGATAGCAGATTTCAGCACCCGTCCGCTGCTGTGATTTGCTCCCATGTTGACAAGGTTCCCTTTCAGCATCCAGCCCACCCTGGGATCCCCTTCTCCCAGGCACGCCACGCGGTCCCTCTGCTTCACCCCCACCCTGGGCCCCAGCCAGTCCCAGCCAGGCAAGGGGAGCACCCAGGCGTCCCAAACGTCAGCAGCTGTGGGGAAAGGCCTGATTGGCCAGCGTTTTGCACCTCTTCTGCACAGGTGGATGTGACCAGAGCAGGGCCCGGTCGGGGGGAATTAGGTCCAGGTTAAATTTAAAAAAAATCAGTTTCATGCCTGCCTGTCTCGATTTCCCTGGGCTTGGGGTCAGGAGAGCTCTGCAAATCCGCAGAAATCCGCTTTATATCTGCGTGTAGCCGCAGCCACAGTCCATTTTTGCGGATATAGATGCAGGTGCTGATACAAAACTTTATATCTGTGCAGGGCTGTAAAGATCAGGCCCTTGTTCCCAAAACTGGTGAGTTTCTGACAGCTGACTTTTATCCTGACAAACCTGTGTGGTTTCACACACACACACACACACACACACACACACACACACACACACACACCTCACAAACCCAGTGTTGTTTCTCACATACACACACATACACAGTGTTGTTTCTCTCACACACACACACACACACACACACACAGCCAGACTGTTTTCACACACACACACACACACACACACACTTTTCTCTCTCACACACACAGTGTTGTTTCTCACACACACACACTGTTGTTTCACACACACACACACCACACACACAGTGTTGTTTCTCACACACACAGACACATCCACAGTGTTGTTTCTCTCTCACTCACACACCCCCCCAGTGTTTTCTCACACACACACACACAGTTTTGTTTCTCACACACACACACACAGATGCCCACACCCCCCTTTAGCTCCCCTGTCCCCTCTGGGATGGAGCTGTCGTTGGGGGCGTGGACGTAACACACCTTCCCACTGGGAGCAGGGCTAGATCCGACCCGCTTCTTTCAGTGGCATGAGCGAGGCCGGTGGCTTGTGTCAGCTGCTGCTGGAGCCTAGGTGTGCAGCGGGGGGTGCTGATGTGTTGGCCCTGCAGGGACTGTCAGCCTGTCTGATAGCACAAGAGAGTGCCGGGCGACGCGTGGAGAGATCTGCGGGAGGTAGATCCTGACTTGCCAGGCTAGGGACTCATGTTTCAAATTGGCATCCAGGGCGCCCGTCCAGTATCACACAGGGCTGCTCACCAGCTGCCTTGAATATGCTGCCAAAGGGTAGCCCAGGGGTTGTCAGACGACAGGTCGTAACCCAGCGCTGGGTGGTGGGGTGTCGGGCCCTGGGTCTCCTCGCAGATCTGCGGGAGGTAGATCCTGACTTGCCAGGCTAGGGACTCATGTTTCAAATTGGCATCCAGGGCGCCCGTCCAGTATCACACAGGGCTGCTCACCAGCTGCCTTGAATATGCTGCCAAAGGGTAGCCCAGGGGTTGTCAGACGACAGGTCGTAACCCAGCGCTGGGTGGTGGGGTGTCGGGCCCTGGGTCTCCTCGCAGCGG